AAAAAAAGCAGCAGCAGCTGCACTGCAATCTCCAAGGCCAGGTGTTTGAATCCATCAGCTGCTCCGCTGGAGAGGGATGGACAATCTTCTCCCATAAAAACCCATCCGCTATGGGTCGGTTCAGGCTCGATGGCACACAACAAAACAATAAAGCCAGAGGGCACCCCAGAAAGCCCGCGGAGGCCAGGCAGAAGTCTGCTAATGGTTACTCTGCCCACCGCCTGGCAGTCACACCGGAGGCTTCAGGATCCAAAGGCTTGCACGAACCCCAGGGTGGTTCTCCCCGAGTCCCTGCGAGGAGACTCCCAGCCCTGCATGAACGTCTCCTTGAAGGATCAATAGCAATTTGGGGCGCCATCTGCTGAGCTGCTCCCCGGCCCTGGGGGAAGCCACGCACCATGCACTTAGCGCTGGAGCCGGGCCATTCTTTAGACACTCTGCTCCTCCTCCTGCAGCAGCCAGCTCCGGCCTCTCTCACCAGCTTCTCCTGTTTGCCTGCAAGGATGGAGACTGCGGGTTCTGGGTCAGCTCTGGGGAGGCCCTGCCCTAACACCGTTGGGAAACTCTTGCTTTGCCTCTGTTTCCTGTGCTCCCTGGTGACCTACGCGCTGGTGGGGGCTGTCCTTTTCTCAGCTGTAGAAGGCAGCCAGGGCTTCAGGGCGGACGACCAGAAGGAGTTCGAGTTCTTCTTGCAGAATCTTAGCACCATCTTGGGATGTAACAAAACAGGTAGGCGGCACACCTGGGCAGGATGCCTATTCCGAGAGAGAGCAGATCAGCCATGTAGGATGCTGGGTCCTCTCCACATCTGGGAAGTCACTTAGGTAAGTGACTTCACTTCTCTGAGCCTCAGTTTTGTCCTCTGTAAAATGGGGAAGAAATAGCCCTGCCAAGGTTGCTGTGAAGGTGGGTTGAGGGATTGTAGGGTATCCACAGGAGCACAAAGCATGGACTCTGGAAAGCGCAGTACCCCTCCCTTTGCCCCTACTTCCAGCCCCACCCAGACCAGCAGGCTTGGGGAGCAAGGACTGCTGAAGCTGGCGGTGTGGAGTGGATGGGGAGTTCTGTAGTGGGGCTTCCTAGACTCGTCGCCAGGAGGCTGCCCCACCTCAAATGACTTGGTTTGCAGCGACTAGAATTCAAGACACAGTCCAAACTCGGCTGGAATGCTGTGGACAGGAAGTCTGTTCTCATTCTCCCACTTTCTCCTTCTAAAGCTTTCCTGTTGTTGGACCATCGGAGGATAGAAGGGTGAGGGGAACTCGGGGACCTGATCCCCGTCCTGGCTGCTGGTGATTTAGGGCAGCATCCTTACCCCGTCTGTGTTGGTGTGGAGGGGTGACGGAGCCTCGGTCTCAGGCCTGTCAATCACAGGGACTCTGTGGGGAGCAGTTGAGCTCATAGACATGAAGCCACTTTGGAAACCTGAAAACACCTTCTGCATGTCCTCATTTCATTTCATTTGTATTTGTACTCATTTGCTCTGTTCTCCAAAGGAAGCTTGCAAAGGCGTATTCAGCCCAAGGGGAGAACAGGGTCCATGAAGCTCCCTCCCCAGAGCTGTGGAGATAAGGATGGTGGATCTTCAGAATGGACGGTCCTCAGTGTAGAGGGTACGCGGTGTGGCACACCCTCAGTGTAGCAGGTCCTCAGGGTGGTGGTCTTTCCATGTGGCAGGTGTCAGGGTGGTGAGCCATCAGGAAGAGGGCTCTCAGGGTGGTGGTCTCTCAGAGTGGTGGGCCGTCAGTGTGGCAGGTCATCAGGGTGGTGGGCCATCAGGAAGGGTGCCCTCCAGGTAATGGCCCTTCCATACAGCTGCCCACAGCTTTCCCCACAGAGAGGATACTGCTATGTGAGCAGATTCTTTTTTCCCCCCTTCCTACTAGTTTATTATGATTCATCGTAGAGAGGGTTAAACCAGGCTGCTCCTTGGAGGCAAGGATTCTGGGGCTTTGTCTGATATACTTTGGACATGTTTTAAGGAGAGACAGGTCTTTAGAGAGGGACATCATGCTGGGTAGAGTAGAGAGACAGCGCAGGAGGGGAAGACCCTCTATGAGGTGGATTGATTCAGTGACTGGGGTAATCGGGATGCGAGTGTCAGAGGCAATGAGATTGGCACAGGATAGAGCAGGGTTTAGGGCTGTTGTACATAGGGTCGCTATGAGTCACAAACAACTCAACGACACATAACAACAACAACTAGCTTATTTACAAAATTCAAATACAAATTTGTACAAATTCTTTCAATTTCCCTCACCTCCCTACCCATCAAATTGTACAACCCAATGATTAATCCCTTCTTCCCCCTGCACATCCACATCCCTCTGCTTCCAGCCTCTCCCACCCCTCCTGGATCCTTATACTCATTCTACAATAACGGTCTTATATGATATTTATCCTTAGGGGACTGAGTTAGTTCACTCAGCATAATTATCTCCAGTCCCTCCCAAGTTAGGCAATAATTTACAAAGCCATCGTGTGAGCAGATTCTTTCAGCTGGGGCTGACACCGGCTTCCCTTCATGGAGGGTCCTGGTCCCTCTTGCTGCATCTGGAGCAGATGGACACACGTATGTTAGCTAATGTTGGACAGGTCATCACACTGGGCTGGACATTCTCAGTCATCACAGAACCCGAGACTGTCAGTGGGTTTGGGGCTTTCAGAGCTGAGTTCATGTCAGAATTATCCAGGAGCTTGTTTAAAATATACATTCCTAATCTATGCTCCAACTCACTAAATCCCATCTCCAGGCTTGGACATGTACGCTGATTTTTAAAAACTTCGAAGATGATTCTGATGTATGGCACATAAAGGGAAACAGAACTGACTCAATTCCCACTTTGTCTGATTTTTCTTAATGCCCAACAAGTGTAGCTAAGTGCCGACCCTGGACCAAGTACTTTTCATGCATTTTTTTTCTTTAATCTTCACAGCAACCCTCTGAGGTGGGTATGAATTATTGCCCCCATTTAGATCATAAAACTGAGGCATAGGGAGGTTAAATAGCTTCCCCAGGCTCACAAACTAGACAATGCAGCCAGCCAATTCAGTCCAAAACACTTGGACCTCAGAGCCTGAGCTTTATTATTATTATTATTTTGTGTGTGTGTACCATCAAATAGGATCTGACTGGTACAGGAGGAGATTGCCCCTTCTTCTCCAGCAGAGCATCTGGTGGATTCGAACCATGTACCTCTGGGATTGCAGTGCAGCTTCTTGCCACTAGGTCACCAGAGCTCCCTTAGAGCCTGAGCTTTTAAGACTAACAGCTTGCTATCCTGCCTCCCCAGTGGGGACACTGAGGCTCAGAGATCATTTTCTCCGTAGCTATGGAGCCTAGTCAGAGACAGAGCTGAGTCTAAGTACAGGTGACTGGACTCTCAGGACGGTGCCTTTCTAACAAGTGGTACACACACCTTTGCTATCTGACAGGCTCAGTGCCATCCTCTTGTGACCACACCAGGGACATGTAGGTGACTGCTGGCTCTTCACGGTCCGCTGACTGCCCAGCCCAACAGAATCATTTGGAACCTCCCTGAGAAACTAGGGCCCTAGCCCTGCTCTGTTGGCTTGGTGGAGGGGTGTCTTAGAAGCCAAGACTTTGGAGCCTTGAAGGAGGCATCTTGAGGCAGCTGGTCCAAGTCTGATGATCAGATTCTATTAGATTTATGCCTTGTAGGAACAAGGACAGTCGGCATCCGTATCACAGCCGGACTTCATAAAAGCCTTTTCGTTTCCAGTTCCTAAGAACCCTGTGAGAGCCAGAGAGCAGAAGCTGGCCTTTCGAAAGTGAAAGAAACAGAGGCCCAGCCTATTGAGAAAATCCACAAAATTACACAGCAAGTCCATGGCTACAGCCCTCCGACCCCAGGGTCCATTCGGTTGGCAGTGCTTCTAATGGGTGGCTTTCTCCCCACAGTGATCAGGGGCCTCCCCCGCAGAGTGGAGGATGACAAGAGCTCAGCTTTGGTGTGGGTGGGGCACACAGTGGGGGCACCGCTGGTAGATCCCTCAGGAAGACTCAGTCCATCCTCTTTGCCTGAATGGCTCCTGTTTCAAAGGCAGGGCGTGACCCACCTGCTCACTCTGGTTTGTGTCTTTCTCTAGTTGAGGAAGGCCCGAAGCAGAGGCTCCGAGAGCTGCTTCAGAACGTGAAGCCCCAGTGGCTGCCCCGGTTCTCAGACTGGTCCTTCCTGAGCTCCCTCTTCTTCTGCTGCACCGTCTTCACCACTGTGGGTAAGCACGTGTGGGTAAGCACGGCAGACTGCCCTGGGGCGTCCTCTACCCCTCAAACCACAGTTTGCCTTGGGCCGGGGAACAGCAGGAGGCTGGGGACTCCTTGGTGGGAATGCTGGTGTCCCCTCTAAGTGTCCCCAGAGCGGTCAGTCCCCATGAAGAGGTCAGTGTAGGGTTTGTTCTCAGCTCTGTCCCTGTCTTGCAGGTGACAGCTCCCTTACGACACTTACCTGTCACACGGGACAATAACAGCACCTCCCTCACTGGGCTGAGGTGAGAATTCAGTCCTTTCATAGAGTGCATTCACTTATGTCCTAACATGGCCGGTAGGTGGCACCAGGAGCTATTGTTCTTTTCTGTCCTGACAGGTCCTGCCTGTATTGGCATTCAGGTGATTGAGTCCAGTTTTGAAGACAGTCCTCTCAGGAGCTCGTGGGTCTGTTTACAAGGGTCTAGTTGCTCACACTGCAGCCATCCTCCTGCCTCTTCTTTCTCTGGGGCACCTTGATTTTGATTGGGCAGCTTGTCCATCTAATTCAGAATGAAATCTCCCTTGGTCCACTCCCACTCATGGCAATTCCATTCCCTGAGGCTTCTGGGAGGAGCTTCCTGGCGGGTTATGACATCTCTCTCTGGGAAAAGGCACCTGCTTCTTCACGTGCTGTCAGGTGTGGTTGTGTGTGGGTGGGATGTGGACTGTGGTGGCCAACTGATGAACTTGAATCTCGGTGCTACAGCTGAGTAGCACATGACAAGCCCTTGACTGCCATCCCATGTCACCTCTTACTGGGGAGGCAACATAGTTCCTTGCAGTTTAAGCCCATTCTGTTGGGTTTTCTGTTCGTTCAGCTGAAGGCATCCTGGCTGTCATTTAATGGACAGTCCTCAGCTGACCGTGAGCTCCAGGCCTCTGGAGTTATAGACCAGGAGCAAAGCTCAGAGACGCTGTGTCCCTGCCTGGAGAGGGCCAGCCTGAGAGTCCCTGGCTGGTCACCAGGCTCCACCACTGCTCCAGGTGTGAGTGGACACAGGGCAAGTCTTGGGGTCAGTACTGTCTCTCTTGAATGAAGACGGGACCCAGTCCTTTATGCTGACCAGGAGGGAAGGCTCTGAATGTGGGCCCATTTCCCACCAAGGCACTGGCCCAGGGGATCCCTGCCTGGGCCTGATGGTCTCCCGCTGCCATCTCACCCTCTCTGGTCCGTTCCCCACACTGTAGCTGGGGTGGTCTTTCTCAGATGCTGGACTTCAATCCCTTTGGATACTCCCCACTGTCTTCAGGATAAACCAGCCCCTTAGGGCTGGCTTTGCAGGTCTTCCTGCCTCTCTCTCATCACCTCTACCTCCACCTGCCCGCAACTCCTGCTATTTGTTTGCAGTGGGTCTTCATTCATGCTGTCCTTTGTGGCCTGGTGTTCCCTCTGCAACCCCACCTTTCCCCACCATGCTAAATCCCGCTTATCCTATAAGATTCTGCATGGCTGCCCGCCCTTCAGGGGACCTTGGAAATGCTTCTTTGTTCATGCTGTCCTTGCAGCCTGACCTCTTCACCCCATTCCACCACCTTCCACCACTCTAATTCCCGCTCACTCGGTAAGAAGCAGCAGGGTCAGCAGCCCCTTTTGGGGGGGCCTTTAAAATGCTTCCATGGGTGCTCCTACTCTCTGCTCCCAAGACACCTTAAACACGTCGCTGACAAGCACCCACCATGTGGGGCTGCTGCTGACAGACTCTGTCTTCCCCAGGGACTCCAGGGGGGCTGGCCATCTCTCCCGTTCCCAGCCAGGCGGCCATGCCCTGTTGACAGTTTGTGCTCTGCACCAGCCCACTCAGTCATGGGGCAAGGCGAGGCTGGCCTCCAGCCCATTCCTATCTGGAAGAAGGGCGTCCTTTACCAATCTATGCAGAAGTGGCCCACGGCGAGTAGCAGCGCCATTTATGGCTGTGTCTGCTGCCCCCTCACACACTGTAGGCCTGGAAGAACGGCCTCCATACACTGGTGTAAGATGCTTAGCAGCATCTCTGACCTCTGTCCGCTGGTGCCCAGAGCGCCTCTTCTCTTTCCCAGCTCTAACAAAGGTTTCCTCTGAGAAACAATCCCTAGGGAGCGGGAGGTGGGAATCACTCCCTGTCAAAAGATGCTGAGTGAATGCAGTGCTTCTCAGAGTGTGGTCTGCGGGCCAGTGCTGTCAGCATCACCTGGGAACGTGTGTGCTGCCGAGTTGGAACCAACTCATAGCTGATCCTCCAGTAAATCGCACAGGAGGAGATTGCCCATCCTAAACTGGTGGATTAGAACCCTGTGCCCTTTCTTGTCCAGAAGATGAAGCTCAATAATTGTTTGCATTGCTCTCTCTCTCTATATATATACATATATATACACATATATACATATATATACATATATACACATATATACACATATACATACATACATATATATATATTTGTTCAAAGTAGCCAGTGCTATTGATGTAACAAAAAACCAACCAATAAAAGTCCCAAGTAACTCCCCCAATGCTACTTTGAAACAAACATATCAAACTTGATTTCCATTAGAATGTAGTTATTCTTCACTAATAAATCAAAACCCAAGATCCAGATTTTATATGTTTGTTTCAAAGTAGCATTGGGGGAGTTATTTGGGACTTTTATTGGTTGGGTTTTTGTTGCATCAATAGCACTGGCTACTTTGAACAAATAAAAGTTTTCTGTAGTTGCTTCATTTATCAGAAAAGAAAAGGGGAGGGAGAACCATATGCCTTTGGGATTGCAGTGCAACTTGTACCACTAGGCAACTAGAGTCTCTTCAGGAACTTCTTAGAAATGCACTTCAGTTCTGTCCATTTAATTCCATCCTGGACCCACCGAATCAAAAACTGGAGACGTGGTGCTCAGCAGTCAGTGGCACAGCCCTGCAGCCGCTCTGGTTTTTGTTACCGTGTGAGAAGCATGGAGCCGGTGCAAGGCTCTCAGCTCTGGCCGCACGTGAGAGGCTCCGGGGCATCCTTTGGAAGCTCTCACACCTGGACCCCACCCTCAGACCCAGTAAGTCGGAGTCTCTCACTTACAGGACCCAGGGGCCACACTTTTCCGAGCACTTCAGGTGGTTTTAATGGGAGGCCAGGCTGTGAACCACTAGTCTAATGGAAATGCATTAACTTAGGGTTTGGTTTCAGTTGCCCCCAAAATGTGATGCTATTTCCTATCATCTGGGTCAATTAGGACACCACGCTGCCCGGTAATTACAGCTAGAGGAGGATGTTGTGGAATAGGCTGCCCCACCCATAGTCGATAACAGTGTTTGGAGGTCCCTCTGGTAATACTGCTTCCTTCCTGCATCTCTGGGTCACTTGAAGTAGACCTGGACCATCAGGCAGGCTGATCCCTAGTCATTCCCACTAGGTCTGCCCCCTTCCATTAAAGTATGTGCACGGGCTAAGTGGAGTGAGTGGATCGATTTGGAATATATCAATGCATTATACAAAAATGCTAAGATTTTCCCTTGTGCGTTTCAGCATTCAGTGACTGAGAGGGTTCATATGATGCCGTTGTGGGGCTGTGTGCTCTCTGAAACGTGCTTCCTTTGATACCTTTTCCAGAATACAGCCATGTCTTCTAAGAACATGGAACCATGTCTTACATAGAGGCAGTCACACGACATACAGCCTTTGGCACAGAGAAGGATGGGTCAGGCGTACGCTTTGGGGAAGGGGTGGAGATTTCGTCCGCTGTGGACTGTGTGAGCAAGTCACTTAGCTTTGGCTTCCCTGGTCTTCTGTTCCCTGTACACTAACTATGGCACTGACTGTCGGCATTAGGAGTCCTTCTGCACAAATTCAGGAATCTTACTGCACAGATCCTTTAAACAGTGTCACTTCTTTCCTTTGTATCAAAATAAATCTGACTATAGGTTCCCATCAGAGGCTGGGGGTCACTGCTCAGAGCCTCCCTGATTTCCCTAGGGGTGCTTCAGAACTGGGGGGCAGGTAGGGCTTGTGAATCATCAATAAAGTGGCCAATCCTTTGTCTGTGGGCACTAATGGCTACTGTTGACACTCCCGGGGCCAGTGGCATTGGGGGAGAGGGAGGGCCAGGCCCAGCATGGGCATTGCTGGTGCACAGGGCCTGGGCTCCTCCAACCTCACAGAGGTCTTGTCAAAACGGAACCCCAGTGGCTTCTGACTCATAATGATTCTCTATCTGGCTTCTGAGGCTAAAGGTCTTCATGGAAGGAGACCGCTCATCTTGTACCCATGGAGCAGCTGGTATTTGAACTGCTGAACTCTTTGTTCCCAGTGCAACACTATCCCCCAGTGCTCCCAAAGCAGCTGTGATTACCTCTCCAGAGACAGGACACCAACATTTATGAATCACTGACTTTGCGTCTGACACTGGCCTCATGTAAACCTCCCAGCTGGTCAGGATACCAAGTATACCGTCAGTCAGTGTTTCAGATAAGAAACCTGAACTTGTGGACAGTCAAGGAATGGTCTAGCACATGGCAATGCTGGGATTTGAACCTGAATCATCAGATTCCAGACACAGAGCTCCTAATCACTTAATGTCATTTATGAACATGCTCATCTCATCTGCTAACCCACGGATGGTTCTGAGGGAAGCATTTGTCTCTGGAACATTCCACTTTTGGCACTAAAAATGCCTGTTATGTAGAAAAAAATGAGACAAGAGGTACGGACATCTCAGAGGAATAGTTGTTGTTCTGTACTGTAATCAGGTTGGAACTGACCAATAGCTGACCCTCCAGTGGGTTTTTTGAGACAGTAAATTACATGTGAAGAGATTAGCCATCCTCTTCGCACAGACCATCTGGTGGATTTGAACCCTGTGCCTTTGAGATTACAGTGCAATTTCTTACTACTAGGCAGCCAGAGCCCTCTTGTTGTTATGTGCTGTCAAGTCAACCATGACCCATCGTGACCCTCTGAATAGCAGCACATCTACACCCTACCTGGTCCTGTGTCACTCGTCTTCTCTGATCCACGTGAGCCTTATTACAGTCCTGTGTCAGCCCGTCTCGTTAAGGTTCTGTCTCCCTTTCACTGCCCTTCTACCCTATCAAGCATGGTGTCTTTTCCCAAGGACTGACCCTTCCTAACAACACACGTAGTATTAGAGATGAAGTTTCGTCATCCTGGTCTCTAAGGAGCACCCTGTTTGCACTTTCTCTCAGACATGCTTGTTCTTTTGACAGTCCTTAGAGTATCTAATACTCTCCGCCAGCACCACAGTTCAAAGGTGCTGATTTTTCTGCTGTCTTCCTTCTCCATTGTCCAGTTTTCAGAGGCATGGCAAGTGATAGGAAAAACCATGGTTTGGATCCTAACATGACATTGTTGCTCTTTAGAACCTTGGAAAGGTCCTTGACAGCAGATTTTCCCAATGTAATGTATCTTCTGCTTTTTTGATTGCTGATACCAAGGGTGTTAGTTGTGGAGCCAAGGAAGATGAAGTCATCGACAATTTCAATCCTAATGGTAGCTTCTCAAAAGCCAGCATCTTCTGTTGGGGACAAGGAGGGGGCTGTTGGGATGACTGGACACTGCCTTCACTATCCTCCCACCTGCGCTCATCTGGTCCTTCCACGTGAGCCTGGTCCATCCTCGGGCAAACATTCAGAAGTGACCGTGGCCAAATGCAGGACAATTGGTTCCCTCCCAGAAAGGTGCTTGTCCCTACCAAGGACATGATGGATCAAGGGTCAGGGAATGAGTTGCTCTTTATCTTACAGATAAATGGGGTTTCACCTCATCCCAACTCCAGGCAGTGCTAATGTGGCATACATAGGCAGATGAGTACCTTAAGGTAAATACAGTCCACACTTGAACAAGTTTGAATAGCTCTTTTTAAAAGGACCACATGTTGGACAATGACTAGGGAGGATAGAAGGAGAATTGATGGTTTTGAGCTGTGGTGCTGGAGAAGAGTATTGAATGTACCATGGACTGCTAAGAAAACAAACAGATTCATCCTAGAGAGGGTTAAGCCAGGTTACTCCTTGGAGGCAAGGATTCTGGGGCTTTGTCTGACATACTTTGGACATGTTGTAAGGAGGGACAGGTCCTTGGAGAGGGACATCATGCTGGGTAGAGTAGAGGGACAGCGCAGGAGGGGAAGGCCCTCTATGAGGTGGATTGATTCAGTGACTGGGGTAATCGGGATGAGAGTGTCAGAGACAGTGCGATTGGAACAGGACAGAGCAGAGTTTAGGGCTGTTGTATACAGGGTCGCTATGAGTCGCAGACAACTCGACAGCACGTAACAACAACAACAAAACAAGGTGATGCTAAAGATCCTCCAGGAAATCATCCATCACTGTCAAGAGTGATCTGTCCCAGTTCATGTGTCGTTCTCATTGTGCTTGGTGCGATGCTGTAAAGCTTGAATAACATCACAGGACTCATGCAGAGACTGTCACTAGTGATGCTGGAAGAGAAAAGTCATAACATTCCAGAGAAAGGTTGGGTTGTTTGACATGCTGTAGATTGAGGTCTGCAGCTGCGGTTGCCCACCCTTTCAAGAGGTGGAGGGACCGCTGTGGACAAGAGGAAATTCATGAAGCCCTGGCTGCAGCTTACACGAGCAGGTGCAGAAACCTTGGACTTTTTCAAAGTATCTTTTTTGTCTAATACTGAGAATGCAGCTTTTCTGTGGGTGCTGTCATGATACATGTAGCATACAGAGCGTGTTAACTGTGCCAGCAGCAAGGCTTCCAGTCAACCGCAGGCTATTGCTGGTCTGTGCTGTTGAGTCAGAATTGACTCATAGCTGACCCTCCAGTGGGTTTTCAGAGGCATGGGAGGAGACTGTCCGTAGTTCGCCCATAGAGTATCTGATGGATTCGAACTGCGTGCCTTTGGGTTGGCAGTGCAGCTCCTTAACTGTGAGGCCACCAGAGTTCCCAGGTAGGCTATTAGTAGTTAAGTTTTTGGAAAGTCAAAAGTTATACACACATTTTCAGCTAAATGAAGAGGTGTTGGAGCTCCTAAGCCCTAAATTGTTCAAGGTCTCCTGTCCTTTCAAACACAGTGAAAATTGCCATGCTGCAAGGGAGAAGAGGGGTGGGGTGGAGGTAGGAGTGTGACAATCCAGTTCTGTGTCTGTTTTCTTCTTTAAAAATTTTATGTGTGTGTGTGTATGTATGTGTGTGTGCTGTCAAATCAGATCTGTCTGGCACAGGAGGAGATTGTTCCTCCTTCTCCAGCAGAGCATCTGGTGGCTTTGAACCTCATACCTCTGGGATTGCAGTGCAGCTTCTTGCCACTAGGCCACCAGAGCTCCCTCTGTGTCTGTTTTCTTTTGCAGGTTATGGCCACATCTACCCTGTCACCAGGCTGGGCAAGTACCTCTGCATGCTCTATGCCCTCCTGGGCATCCCCCTCATGTTTCTGGTCCTCACCGACACCGGTGACATCCTGGCCGCCATCCTGTCCACATTTTACAACAGATTCTGCAAACTCCCCATCCAGGCCTCTCACCTTCCCAGGTGGTGTCCCCAGCTGCTCTGCAAGAGAAGACCTGACGCCAGGCCTGGGCATGAAGTCACCCCAAAGATCGTCATCAGTTCTGAAGACCTCCCAGACCACAAACCCAGCCGGGGTTCCCTAGGCCAGAGCCACAACGAGGAGCTGTTTGAACGGCTCCTGGCCCGAGAGAGGCCGAACGTGCTGCAGCCGCCCCCGCGGGCCATGGAGAGGAGCAGTTCGTGCCCCGAGCTGGTGTCCGGGAGGCTCTCCTCCTCCCTCATCTCCAACCTGGATGAGGTCGGGCGGCAGGTGGAGAGGCTGGACGTGCCCCTCCCGGTCATCGCCCTCGTGGTCTTTGCCTACATTTCCTGTGCGGCCGCCATCCTCCCCATGTGGGAGAAGCAGCTGGACTTCGAGAACGCCTTTTACTTCTGCTTCGTCACGCTGACCACCATCGGCTTTGGAGACACCACCTTGGATCACCCGAAGGTCTTCATGTTCTTCTCCATTTACATCATCGTTGGCATGGAGATCGTGTTCATTGCTTTCAAGTTGGTGCAAAACAGGCTGATCCACGTCTACAAAAAGCTTATGCTATTCTTTGTCGACGGGAAGTTCTCCCACCCTGGGAAGAAGTGATGTGAAGGACACTGTCTGGCCAGGGGTCGGCCACCCCGGCTTGACATTTGGGACAACGTGGGTAGAACTGATGGCACTGCACCCTGTGCCTTGGAGTTTGAAGCCAGAGTGTCTGTGAGAACTCACAGGTCACCACGATCAGAATGGACTTGGGACAGTGACCACCACCACCACCACATTATACAGGCTTTTCAGCGGCGAAGCCCTGCAGGACACGTGGCCAGTCACTTGCCAGGACATTATTGAGCTGGAAGAAAGAAAATGATCATACTATTCAAGTCCAAAAAACCCTCCTTAATTTCAGAGAAATATGAGCGCCATCTTTGATGGGCGGAACCTGATGTTATCACTGATTTTCTTGTAATTTCAGGGGGAGAAAAAGACACTTGTTCTTGGAATTTATACTTGCAGCTGAATGAAGTTCTTCACAAGCTACTTTCAGTTGACCTTTGAGGAAACCATTTTTGCACACTATTGGTGCATAATAAATGCTTACTGTGTGAAAACAGATTGAGAGGCTCAGACATTGCAGGGAAGACAAGGGCAGCTTAAAAGTGGACCCTGTCTGTGGAGGAGGACGTGGGGTGAGGGTCGTGGGTATGTCAGTGACACCACCCTCATCACTCTTATCTGTGTTTAGCTTAAGCCAAAATGGTCCCTGTGCAAATAAATGCTCAGAGCAGCTGATAGTGTGAAACCCTGCTTCTCTCTGGGAAAAGGAGCAGCTCATTTCCAGATCCTTGATCCCCAATGTCCTAAACAGGAAACCAAAGAGCTGCTTTGAAGGCCCTTTTGTTTCCTGAATGGGCGGTCCCGTCCACTAGGCTGAGGTCACCCAGCAGAAAGGTCATCTGTGCTCACAGGGACCTGCAGCCCTTCCTGGTCGCTAACTGCCATGCGATTGGCACTCCTTAATGAGTTGGACTTGATAGAGTTGACCCCTAACAGAATGGGTTGGTACATATAAACCTGGCATTTTTCTTGGTGGATGGGTACACCCCCTGAGCTCTGCCTGAATGAGCCTGTATATGAGTGGAGTGGACATCCAGCAGTTGTAGGTGTTCCACCAGACCCCTGTGCACCCCGCTCTGAGCGTTATGGCAGGGTTGATGCCCCAGCTTTGGGTCTAAAGAATTAAGTCAGGCGGGAGAGCCTGGAGAGCATGGTGCTCGGGCTGCTAACGTAACACAGTGTACGGCAATTTCAGTGGCCCTTAGGAAAGCCGATTTTAGTGTCAAGTGTGGGGCCTTTAGAAGTGTCAGTGTTGATCTTACTCAGAATAGTCCCAGCGTGGACCAACGCCTTATTAGAGCACAATGTGAAGGTGAAAGGCAGGGAGACAGGCGTGAAGGTCAAAAGCAAACACAGATTCATCAGAAATGATACACACATCCCGAGGAAAGGATGCAATGGAGGGGGGTCCAGGCCATAGAAGTGGGGATGCAATTTGGGCATGCCTTGGGGGTTGGACCAATGAGCCGATGGCTTGTTTAAGTGTGCCATAGGGCTGGAGTCTGAGCCCATGAGATAATGCCATGCAGAGTTCAAACCCTGGTGGGCGATTCTTACTCAGGTTGATTGTTCCTGAAGTCACTCATGCTTCTAAAACACTAGTCACACACTTCTGTCTCTTATCACTTTGGCATTTGTCTCAACATTTTCCCCACCCTGCCACTCCTTATTTCAGCCTGATTCTGACCCCTTCACGAGGACTCCAGTCACTAAGCACGGGCATCCGCTCCTCTACTGAGAGCCCTCTCCCTCAGTAACTCACCTGCATTTAAATCCTTGTCTCGGTGTCCTCCGGGGAGCCCTCAGTCTCGGAGAGGGTGCTGGTAAATCAGAATGCAAACTGGTGAGTTAGATGCTTGGAGCAGCACCAGCATTATTTCCATAGATTATTTCTGCCTTCGGTTATTAGAAATGTCTCCTGGGTTGACCTTTCTTATGTAAGAGCCTCTTGCAGAAATTAACCTGTGCCCTGTGACTATCTATCTACCTGGGTGAACAGCAGACTTTGCTCCTGGGTGCCCGGTGAAAATGACAACCAATACAAACATGAAGAAGTTCTAGTTCAAGGAATGAAGCCTCCGAGTTTTGAGGCTTCTAGTTCCAATCTAAGTTCTAACACATGTGAAGAGCCAGCCTTCAGAGGGTTCAGTTCTGCCTTTCTAGATCGTTCCCCGTCTTCAGCAGTAGGTTTGCTGCCCCGCTGCCCCTCCGCCCTTCAGTTGATTGAGAAAACATGAACAAGAGCCAATGAAAAATATAAAGCAGCTGCTGGGAGTAGGATTTGCGTGGCGTTCTTAGCATCCCTAAGGTCACTCTAGCTGAGCTTGTGGTACAGTGAAGCTCCTAGAACACAAGGCTGGATTAAAGGGCTATTCAAAGTTCACAAGCATTTATTGTTTGCCAGTCTCCAAGACCACCGAGCTTCAAGCCAATTCATTCTGCTTTGACCCCTGATAAAGATTTGTATTCCTGTTACAGCTAGTTAGAATCTGCATTTGAACACGATCCCCAGGTGAGTGATAAGGCTCACCTGGGATTCTTGTTGAAATGCAGATTCTGACTCAAAAATTGTCAGGGTCAAAACGGAACCCAGCTCCAAGTCCTGTCTGTGTCAGAGGCCAAGTTCTCTGTGTGGCATTTTGCTCAGGATTGGTAACCGTGTGGACAAACCCAGCAACATGAAGGTTGTTTATCTGATTCTGAAAAGAATGGCAAAGAAAACCCTATGGAAAGGAGCTCTGGTGGCCTACTGGCAAGAAGCTGCACGCGGTTCAAATCCACCAGACACTCCGCTGGAGAAGGAGGGACAATCTCCTTCTGTGCCAGTCGGATCTAACACATAGGTACACAACAAACAAAACAAAGGGGCCGGGGTGGGGGTGGGTAGAAAGTTACAGGCAGTTTCACTCCCTAACACCTGAGGTCGCTGTGATGGATTAGGCTCGGTGTTTGATAGAACAAATGCAGGGCGTCTGGACATGAGTCAGGATGCCAGTGGACAGGCAGTTTCATTGGAAGTGGCCATGAACTCAGCTCCCCCCTTCCTGAGGCAATGGGGAGTTCTGTTTAAATGCAAAGGTGGAGCTTGTCAGGGATATATATGGGGTCACTTTTAAGTTCAAACTGATGGTGACTAACACCACCACAGGACACAAATGAAAGGTCGTGACCATTTGTTTATTTCGTTTGCTCTCTTCTGGTCGTCTCAGTGCTTCCTATGCATCTGAAAGCTGGACTGTGAATAAGGAAGGCCAAAGAAGAGTTGATGCCTGTAAATTGTGTTGGTGGTAAGTGTGGCGTCTACCATGGACTTTTGGCAAAAAGAACAAACAAGCCTGCCTGGGAGGCAACACAGCCATGTGCTCCTTAGGGCGGAGATGGTGAAGCTACGTCTCACACACTCTGTGCGTGTGGTCAGAAGAGCCCAGCCCTTGGAAAAAGACGTCATGCTGGGAAAGGTCAAAGAAAAGACCCTCAAAGGACAAAGTAACTCGACAATGGCCTTCAGCAGGGTAGAGATAGTGAGGACGGGCCAGGATGGACCCCGGCTCCAAGACGTTCTTCGCAGGGTTGGTGGTACCTAAAATGATTTCTGTTTTGAACTTCCTAAGTTGCTGTCTGGTGGCCTAGTGGAAGCTGTGCTGCAATCCTGAAGGCATATGGTTCAAGGCCACCAGCTGCTCCACGGTAGAAGGATGGGCAATCTCCTCCCGTGCAATTAACTGCTTCTGAAAACCTGCCGGAGGTCAGCTATGGGTCAGTTCTGACTCTACGGCACACAACAACAGCAACAACAAGGTGCTGTCTGTGATTAGAGGTGGCATCATCACCCAGTTATAATGACCCTTCAAAGCATGTGGGTTTGTCTGCTTTTAGAAGCTAAAGGTGTCATTTTAATGATACTATAATTCTATAATTATATTATTTATATTATTTCCCAAATTTCCCAAATTATAATAGATTTCCCCCCTTATTTCTATTTTAATACGTTTTTCTGCATTTTAAAGATTTTTTTACAGTATTTTATAATCAGGAATAAATTCGTATTTAAGAAGAGCACTATAAAGTGGTTGAATCATGTTTATAGTGTTGTACCAAGTATGGTTTGATCATACCAGCCACTCAAGAGAAAGACTTGTTGATGAGCTCCCTCAAAGAAAGTCCCTCTGGGGTAATTGTGTGTATCCTTTAGAGCTCGATAAGTCTGGGTCAGTTTGTGAGTACACAGCAACAAATATCAAATAACCGGATGAGTTTAGAGATCTAGGAATCAGAATATCAGGCCACATTATTTATTTGATTAGGGAGTTCTATGCCTTGTAAGAGCCTTTTAGAATCATTTGAACATTGTCATTAATTTTTAGAGCAAGTTATTTAAAAGAACAAAATAGTAGAATAGATTTTAGTTGGAATGTTTATTGGCATATTTTTTATATTGTACAGATTTTTAGTATGGATTTTCTTAATCCGCTTCACTACTGTTGTATGTCCTGATACCAAATTTTCATTTTGTCCAATGTTTTATCTCTCTCTATATGTACATATGTTATTAGAGAAGTTGAAAATATTATAAGGAAAAATAGTGTTTTTTAACAAGGTTCAAATATCTCATTTGTTCATTTGCTATTATCCGAAACAGATTTTAATCCCCTTTGTCCTTGTGATGTGTGCTTTTGAAGCAGTTCAGTTAACTACCCAGTTGCCATCCAGAAGGTAAGATGGATTGTGGGAAGCACTTGGAATGTCTGTTTTTAGGAAGTGAGTACACATTTGAAGGTGATTCTTGTGATGGCTATTAAGTCACTATAACATAGACTGTAAATACAAAAAAAAAAAAAAGAAATGTTACACCTTTTTAATAGGAATTGAATTGTCCTTAGAGGAAATTAGTTGTTTAGGATCTTTTGTGGACTAGTAATTCTTAGCAGTAACTGAACAAAGAGCCTCTGTAGAGAACAATAGAAAATGAATGTGAGATTATTACGGTT